ACACTGGTTCAACAGTACTGGACTCACCTCCGTATGGTAAATGGCCATGACAGCCGTTAACGGCAATCTAGAAACTTGAGATAGTTTTAATACGATTAATGCATCAGTTATATATATATATATATATATATATATATATCCCTTAACGCTTCGATTTTATCCGATATATTATATCGGATATAATTTTTTTTACGCATTAACACAAATTACTATTAAACCTCAGTACGATCATGAAATACATCAAAATGTGCCTTACAAAGGTGCACATTACAATAGGAACACTTCCTAGAAGGTACAGCAACCTTGATTGTATTGGGGTCTCCTCCATTTTGCTTCTCCACTGCCTTGAGATAAGCACAATAGACGCACTGAAGCTGTTTGAGACCTTTCTTACCTTGCTCAAATGTAACAGTGTGCTCGTCCAGACTGCCTCTGAATCTACAGCGAGGAAGCTGTGGGTTCGTTGTACTCATTCGAGCCTTGTTCTTTACTATTCCTTTTGGTGAAGGTGTCCGTGCTCTTCCTTGTCTCGTCCGTCCGAATACTTCTTGATCCGCTCTGCCAACAAGTGCTTCAATGAACTCTGTAATAAATTCCTTGTGTTCCACTTTTGGGTGGTTTGAAAGCTTCTTGTAGATTATATATGCGTTGATCCGGACAATATCAAGACCATGGTTCATCATTGCCATCCAGTAGCGTCGCACTCTCAACTTTGGACGATAATAGGCGATGTATTGGTCGCTCTTGTCAACTCCACCCATCCAGTGGTTGTAATCGTCAATGAACCCAGGAATCCCAATCTGCTTCACTGCACTGTTTCCAAATACAGTGTCCACATGAGCCTTGTTAAGAACAGTGACCCGGGGGCGTCTTCTTCTTCTCACAATTGACTCTGTTCCGTCATGCAATGTCGACACCACTATGACAGTATTGTTGTCAATCCAACGGAAGATTCTGAAATTGCGACGGTCATTGATATGATACACAGTGTTGAAGCGATCATCCTTGACATCCTTGATCTCCTTTGGTGGCCAACCTCTTCTTCCTCTAGCTGTTCCAACACAAGCCACATTGATTTGCCTCAGCCTCAGCATCGCGTCTGGGAGAGTGAAGTAGTTGTCCATGGCAATGACATACTTCTTGTTGTCTCGGTCGGGCAACTTCTCTGCAAGTTGCAACACCATATCAGCAATCTTGTTTCCCTCTAGACGGCCACTGGGGACAAAGGAATACACATATCCTGTACTTGCATCACAGATTGCAAAGAATTTGAAGCCTTCTTTGATTGGCTTTGCTTTCATTCGAACTGTCTGCTTGTTGCGTCCCTTGAACAGTTTCATCTGTTCGTCCAGCGATACACAGAAGCCTGGATTGATGCAATGCCGTTGAGAGATCTTGTTCACATGATCAAGGAGAGGCTTTGCCTTGTCATACCAGGTCAGTGCTTCTTGCTCATCAACCAATTGGTCATCTTCACCTGTTTGTTGATTGCCGTTTGGATCTTCATTTCCTTCTTCTTCTTCTTCTTCGTCGTCATCATCACCACTGCCAGCATCGTCATCTGTTTCCTGAGCATTCTCAGGTACTGTTAGATGAATATTCCTCCATATGTATTGGAATCTTTTGGAAGAGATGCCATGTGTCACCGGATGTGTCGGCCAAATATTAAGTTTGTGACGTCGCCAGTAATCTGATTTCGACGGAAGCACTACCAAGCCCATGTAATAGTAAATTGCCAAGAAGCGAAGCAATTCTTCCAAAGTTACATCCTTAACCTTCGAAGGGGGTAGTCTAGCTCTTGCATATGAATTTGTATGCCCGATGATATCTTGAAGGAGGTTGTTTGGAAGGAATAGCTCCGTCATGAGCACTGGAGTCACAATCATGCCAGCTTCTAAGCCACCAAACCGAGGCTTGTGGCGCTCTTCCATCTCAATTGACATCTTATCATAGGGTTGAGTAGTGCCATTTTGATAGTTCAGCTCAGTGACAAATGGTGTGTCACAAGAGTACACCATCGTCGTATTGAAGTGATGGCATCAATTTTGTGAGATGGATTTTTGATGACCCGTCTGACATTGTCGGGGTCATCCTGTTGTTTGTGCTCATCTGGGATATGACATGTAGCACATCGATGAAATCCTTATTTCATTGACAATAAACTTATTCATGGCAGCAAATAGTGTATTTGGATGTGTCAAAAGTTATTTGATGAAATGTATGTGAAATTTTTTTATCCGATATATTATATCGTCTAAAGCGTTAAGGGATATATATATATATATAGTCGCGCAACCAAAGAATGGCCGAACAGTCGCGCAACCAAAGAATGGCCGAACAGTCGCGCAACCAAAGAATGGCCAAACAGTCACGCAACCAAAGAATGGCCAAACAGTCGCGGAAAAGACCCCT